TTGTATATAAATATTTAATGATGAATACAATTATTAATCTTAAAGAATCTTTTGAGTTTATCTTATGAATGATAGTTTATTTGTTTAAATCTCAAAATAATATTAAGAAATAAGGTTGATTTATATTAAAATCCGCTTGAATAATCTTTCACAAGATTATTATAAATAGTCTTTGAAAATGGAAGTATATAATCACTGATCAAATTAAATTCGCTTGGCATTCTAAAACTAACATAAGTCTCATAATTTTAGAATTTAAAATATTATATGTTCAACTTGAAACTTTGAATTTGGAGTCAATTTACAAAATAGATATGATAATTAAGGATAGTAAAATTATGAAGCAAATAATTTATTTGATTTTTTTTCTTATCTTTTGAATTAAAGAAATATCTAATAAAAGATTGTCCTAAATCAAAATATATTGTTTATTAAATTAAAGAGATAGTAATGGGTTAAATAAAAGTATTTCGAATATTAAGCCTTGAAATAAAATAAAATCAAATAATATTCAAGAATTCTTAATATAGTTTAAAAAGATTTGATTATTAAATATATTTTATTCAAAATAAGCTTAAAAAATCAGCTAAAGAAGGTGAAACTTAGAGTTAATCCTTATTCTTTGATGTCATAACAAGCTTTAGCAATTACTCCTAGAGAATTTAGTGTTTAATAAAGGTGCAATTAAAAGTTTAACCTTATTTCGCTTTTTTCATTTTATAACAATATTTCTTAGGTAATTGCATCAAAGTTCTAAGTTTCAAACTTCATAGCCTTATCGATCAAAAATAAAGCTATATTTTGCTTTTATTATAAAGCTAATTTTTTAACTTAGATTGAGCTTTATGTCAATTTAAGATTTTACTAAATCTCTTAAGATTTAGACTATTTTATGTTTAGATCATTGCAATTGGGATTAATTTTAATAGAAATCTAAAGTCTAGAATTGTTAGAATTTATAATTTAATATTGGCCACATCAATGTAATACTCAAAAGAAATATACTAAATTTCAGTTGCTTTAGTGCAGCTAATTGAGTTTGTTAAATCTCCTATTAATGTTGCATAATTCTTATATATTAGCAAATTATAGATATATTTTTTAAAATCAAATTCTTTAGAAACTAATAAAGACTAAAAAAACAAATTTCTTATCTGTAGAATTTTGAAGAATGATAATTATTATATTATATCCTTATCTATTTTAAGATCAATTCATCATTAATTACTTAATATAATTCAATCAGGTATTCCATTATTTAAATATTAATAATATAATTTATTTTATTTTTATAAATAATCCTTAATAGAATCTGAAATTACTTCTAGTAACTCAGTAATCATTTAAACGTATAAAATGAATACACTATTATTGTGATCATAAATTATGTTAGATTAATGATTTATTTTAGCAAAACTAATAATTGAAATTGTAATATAGTATAATGAGTTCTCATTATTTTAAGTTAAAAAAGATAGAAAAAATTATCCTATTCCTTACAAGTAAAATTTAATGTATATTTCCAGTGTATCATTTAAATGTAGTTAGACGCTTTAAAAATGTTAAATATATAAAATAATTCTTTCTACACATTCACATTATATTATTATAATAAAATCTTAAGACATTTATAACTTTTATTGATGATTCTACAATATTTGCACTCTTTAATTCATTTCTTATTTGTGACAATCCATTTTTCAAAGACCACTATAAATTGCCATTTATCAATACTCTTTACAAATTATAGTACTCAATAAAATTCATTAAAAATTTTAACTTATACAGAATTTATATATTTTGTTAAAAGTTAATTCAAAATACTACAATTTCNTTATATAGATAATGCAACATTAATTTATAACGAAACAAGATTTTACTAATCAAGAAAATTTCAAAATAGCAGTAAAAATATATTATTTATATAATATGTATAATTATATAAAGAAATAATCACGAGTCAAAAATTCTCATAGCATCATACTAATAAATTACAGAATATTCAAACTTGACAATTTCACCTTTTACCTTTTAAATTATATAAATACAATGATTGCTAAATGAGTACATATATTTTTACTTGTTATATTCTTAAAATTATATTTCAAATCTCCTATTCTTAAGCAATTATCATACTCATCCTCTTCATAAGCCTGAACTTCCCTATTATATAATAAAATTAAACAAATTTTCATTAATTCTAAATTAATTCTTTCCACTTGCCCTATTTTTTCCATCATAAGTGTGTATTTAAGTGAAATAGTTGTTAATTTTTTCTTACACTAATCTATCCTTCTACACTGTCCAAAGTTTTACTGATCCATGTCGCCATCATTTTCCTACCTTCCTATTATTTCCATAGTCGCCTCCTTATTTTAATCTATTTTAAATTAGTTAATGATTCTGGTAGTTTTTTAATATATTTTATTTAATCACTAATTTTATTTCAATATAAATATAACTCCACCCTTAAAATAGACCTATCATGAATTTATAGAATTTAATTATTACTTGTAATGTTGATTTTTAGTTTAGTTCATATAAATCTAGTACCAGGCAAAAATTCAAATTCAAAAGGAATTTCTTACAATTTAAAGTCATCGTTTCTTATCCTTTTAATTATTATACAACTCCTATTTTAGTTCAAATCTCTAATTTTTCGATTAAGGATCATTTATCATTAATTTTATGTTCATCTTATTCTAAAATTTTTATTACTACATTTTGATTCATATCATTTTCAAGTTAATTTTTTAAGGTTTGGCAAAATTTAAAAATTTTAAAGAAGCTATTTATTGGCCTGATACCAAAAGGGGAAAGTGATCTATTTCTATTCAATCATATGCAAGCATATTAAGCTAAGATATTCCTAATTTTCCATGCTTAATTGATTTCCTTTTCTTAAATTTTATTTACAAATAAAAGGATTGAAATAAAACTGACTTAATTTGATGAATTTCTTTATTTCTGAAAAATCTAATTCATTCTATTTCAAATCCATTATTGAAATTATTCAAATGATATTAAAGATGAAAAATTTTTAAGAAACTATAAGGATTAAAAATGAATATTTAGATAAAGAGAGAGTTGAAAATTGATAGTTATAAGAGAATTCTTAAAATCTCTAAAAATAATTAATTCAGTTGCAATTATGACTCAAGGTAGAAAATAGCTTGAATAGGTATAAATTAAACATAAATCTCATTTAATATATAAGTTGATTAAAAATTGATTTGAATCTTAACTAAAGCAAAAAGCAAATTTTCTTGTAAACAAATATAGAATTAAAAATATTGTATATTTTTCGAATAAAAATATTATTTAGAGATAATCTTGATAAATGATTATAGAATCTCAGCTTTAATTAATTAAGTTGCATATCAAAAGATGATAATAACATGTATAAGCATTTTTTAATACATTAATGTTTATTATAATTGATATATTTTTAGTTCTCTCAAAAAGTTTTTTGTCGCTATAATTAATAAGTTGTAGATGAATTATTTAAAGTGAAAATAGATTAATTTTAATTGAATAAATCATTTTAACAAATTAAGATAAGATAATAACATTAGTCAACAGATTTCAACAAAAATATAAGATATTTCTAAGTTAAATTGCAGATTACTTTAAAAAAAGGAAATAAAATACTCCAAATATGGATTCATCTTAAAGTTTATTGATTATTTTATATTCAAATATTGAGATTCATTACGAGCTTTCCTAATTTTTGAATAATTTAGATATATCTATCATTATTGTTAAGGATCTAGGTGTCTAAATAAAATTTGGTAATTTAAAATAACTCCATCAGAGGAATGGGTTGCCACATCAACCTCTAGTTATTGGTATTTGTCAGCATTAATCTAAATCTTCTAAAAAATAAGCTTCCTTAAGTTCTGACTTTCCACCTGTAAAACCGAGGGTGGAATGCAGTACAGACTGCATAGAGAGGTGTCATCTTGCACACATAGGGCCGTTGTAAGTAAAAACCCTTATTATTAAAATCACTTATTCTAAAATTAAAAAACAGTGGTCATCCTTTATTAGCCTTCATAATGGCCTTTTGAAAGGCAGCCTTAACTTGGCGATTGGCAGAAGACTTTCTTCGACTCAAAGCTTTAATATCAGAACTTAATAATTTAATTTTAATAATTCTTGAATAATTTAGTATAGATCAAATATCTATAATTGTTTGAGATCCTAAAAACTAATTTAAAGTGACTTGGTAAATAAAGAGCAGTTTAGAAAGAAAATTTCTTAGAAGAAATTGATAGATATAATAAGTATAAATAATTTAAAATGGCTAGATAAATTGAATAGAAATTTATATTTATAACATATGATTATAGTGATTTAAGGAATTTTTCACTTAATAAGAATATTATAGCTTTTTATTAATTAAGTATTAATACATTGAATAGTTTCATTCAAGCATCATTAACGCCTAATATTTAAATGTTTTGATTAAATTATCAAGTCGCCAAAATGAAATTTTTTATTTTATTTTTTTTGTCTATACCTAATTTTTCTGCTTGCTTACAAGTCTTGATTAATTTATCTTTTTCTTCCTCATTACATATCAGAGCACTTAATTTAAGTTAACTTAGTAAAGTACAGAATAATTTTCAATGCCTTCATCAAGAACGATTTTTCATTTAATTTTTTTAATATAGATCAAAAAATGCTACTTAACAAAAGTAGATGTTTATAGTTAATATACTCAATTTAATTCTGATATTCTACATACCATTTTTAATTCGTTTTAATTAAAAATTCATTCACCTTTTTAAAATAATTCAATTATTTTAAATTTATTCCTTCTTAGTAAAATCAATTTCATAATCTCAGTTCTTACAACATAAATTTTTGAGATAATCTTGAATTGATATATAAATAATATACTTGTAAAAATTAGAATTTAATTGAATCCATTTTCCAATCTTATATTCATAATCATTAAATCATCTGATGATTAAAATTTTTTGAATTATCAAAATATTGAATTTTTTAATTATATTTATGTCATCTTTCTATTTTTACTTTGCATTCAATTAAACTAATTAGAAAAGTTTTATTAATAAAGATTTAGATTAAAATACTGTTAAGTAAATATTTAAAATATCTAAAATAATAAGTAATTAACAGCTACGTATTTTGACTAAAGTGAAATATTAAATATATGCTTTTTCTAAATATCATATCAATAATTGTAGATGTAGATAATATAATTCTCATCATAAATAATGTGTTACTAAAAAATTATCATTTATGTCAAATCAAATTAGCTTCTCTAAAATAATTGAAAATTTTATTAGTAGGTTAAAAAATTACAATATTATCTCTAAGGTTTTTATTATTACTATAAAATTGTTATTTCAATAGGGAAAATCTTCTTTGCTAATATTATAAATTAATATGCTAGGTTTTTTCTTGTCTTCGATTTAACAATCCAAAATTATGATCTTTAAGAAAAATAGAAATGATAATTTAAATTGTTCGATCAATTGAAAATATATCAAAAATCCTTATTTATTGATTAGAATAAAAAAGAAGAAAATTTCAAAAAATAAATTAACTTTTTATTTTTTTCATGGTGTTGAGAAATAAGATATCTTTTGGGGCTTACCCTAGTTTAAGGCCTTCATTGGTTTTGCTGTTTCTACTGAAACTTTGGCAGCGTCCTGTAAATGATCTAGGAGCTGGAGGCTTCTTTCCTTTCATAGAGAAGAATTTAGTACAAGAGTATAGTAACATTCCTTTCTTGAATTACTCTAAAGAATGTGACTTACTACTTATTCTAACTTGTCTTAGATTCACAATAGAAGCTTTATGCTTGAATTCTATTGTTTGGATATGTAAACCCCAGGTCTTGAGGTTAAAATCAAGTTAACTAACTTATTAGACTGATAGAACCTTTATTGTTCTAGAAATATAAATGGAATTTAGATACATAGTCAGATTGCTCCATTCGCTCAGTGGAAAGAGAAGATGAGAATGAAATGATGTGGAGAGGAGTGGAGTGGACTCGTTTGTTGAAGTAGTACTTCTGAAACAATTTAATTGATCTTAATAATAAATGCTTGCTTGCTCGCCTTACAGCACTGGTGACTTTTATCTAGATGGGAGGAGTCAAACTTATCAGGATCATGAAATTATTCTAATAAATTTTGAATACTTGAAAAAAATGGATAGTTTTTCTCAAATCTTAAGTTCTATTCCTCACCCTTCCTAAAGGGGTGAGTTTAATATTTAGGCTGAGGAGTATGTTTCAATTTTTGAATCTCTAGCCACCTTTTTATTATAGTAATTATGAAATCGACTCTCATTCAGAAATTAATAGTCTAATCAGAATTTTATACTAGGAAGGCTTATAGATTCAATCTGATTGATTCCTATTTATTTCAATGTAATAGTAATCAGGTGAATTAATAATATTTTATTATAAGTTTGATTCTCAAATTTAAGAAAAATTATTTTTTTATATTTCAATTCTGTGTATGAGAAATAGCCAAATATATATATACATTCTATTTAATTTAAATTTGATATATATTAAACCTTAAACCCTTCATTCTTATTAAACATTCCAATCTAGTATATTATAAATACTTATTAGCATAAAATGTATATATTTGAATTGAATTTATTAATATATTAAATAGTAATAGAAATTTTATAATTTAATAATAATGAGTTTATATAATGTTTTAATAGAATTAGAAAAAGATTTAATATTAATATTAATTATGAATCAAACCAATGATACTAATATCAAATGCCCAAATTCAGAACATGTCAATAATGTAAAAATAGTATGTTTTAATGAATCTTGTAAAGCAGATAGATTATAATGCATTTAATGTATATAAAATGGAATTCATGTTTCTCATCTTTAACATTAATAAGATTTACCATTTTTGTTTGAACATATTTCAGATATTGAAAAACATTGTGAAGACTTAATTATAGATTTGAATAAATAAATAGATATGGCTTATTAATAATTCTATTTATTGATTGGAAGAATTAGATCAAAATATCAGAAATCTAGACAATAATTCCTTAACTTAGATTCTAAATAAATGAATTCTTTCTTTGCAGAAAGTATTAAATTCAAATCATTTGAATAAACAAACTTAATATTAATCAAATAATCAATAAAAGATTTTCAAGATTCAATTGTAAAATTATTATCTGATTTAAAATTATCTGAATTAAATTATTATCAAATATCTAATTAAGATATTAATTAATCAGAAGAATTATATAAAAAAGGTAATAAATCTATTAAATTAGGTTATAAACTATATTGGGATGATAAAAATTTTAAAGAGGCAATTAAAATATTTGATTAATCATTAATTTTTAACCCAAAAAATTGTAATTCATTATGGTGTAAAGGTATGATTATTATTTAATGTGTTAGCGGACAGTTTAAGGATGCTTGGTTAATACAATGAAGCAATTGCTTGGGCCGATAAAGAATTGTAAGTAGATCCAAAACATTGTAGCTCATTATATTGTAAAGGTATGATTATTATTTAATGTGTTAGCTGCGAGCTTAAATATGCTTGGTTAATACAATGAAGCAATTGTTTGGGCCGATAAAGCATTGTAAGTAGATCCAAAACATTGTAGCTTATTATATTGTAAAGGTATGATTATTATTTAATGTGTTAGCTGCGAGCTTAAGGATGCTTGATTAAAACAATGAAGCAATTGTTTGGGCAGATAAAGCATTGTAAGTAGATCCAAAACATTGTAGTTCATTATTTACCAAAAGTACTAATTATTTTGATTTGAAGGTAATTCATTAAGATTATTGAAAATGTTTAAATAATCTATGGAAGTGATTGAGTAATCACTAAAAATTAATCCAAATCACTTTGATTCATTGTGGGCAAAAGGTGTAAGTATCTTTTTAATTTATAGGTAAATGTTTACAAGATTAGAATTAATATTAAGAAGCTTTATTATTTTATGAAAAAGCATTAATGATCAATCCAAAAAATTAATGGATTAGAGACAGAAAAGGTATTATCTATATAAAATATTTAGATGAATGTTTAAAAGCTATAAATTAAAAATGAGTATTTATAAATATAAAGATTGAAAATACATTAATATCATATTCAATATTTCGACACCTCAATCACTCATTTTTTTTCATACTTCTTTAAGTGTTTCTAAAATATTTATTTTACAATTCTTACTTTAATATTAAAATTATTGAAATAAAGCCATGAAATATATAGAAACTAGAACAAGATCTTGGCTATTTATTAATGATCTTTATACTTAAAATAAATTGTCTGGTATTTAAAAATGAGAAAAACTGTTGATAATTCAGAATAAATTAAGACTATGATAAATCTTAAAAGTTATTAATTTTGAAAAGATTTTTTCATATTAAACTTCATTAATTTACTTAAGGCATGACTTTTTTATAGAAATAAGCATTCTAGATTTAACAATTGTCCATTAAGCCTGTGATCTTAGACCAAAAGCTCAAAGTTAATAAAATAAATAGCAGGATATATTAAAAATACTATAAGAGTATTCTTGATATGGCGATTTTATTTAAGGCAGATAAAATTGTAATTATTAAGTAAGAGTTATATTATTTTGGATTTTAAAATTATTGTTTTGACATTTTATATGATATGAAAGCAATTTAAATTGAATTATTAACAAGGGATTCTCATATCATTTTTTAGGTTTTCAATATCAAAAATTATCAAGACATATTTAATTAAGCAACTAAATTCCTATTATAACTCTAAGAGACAACTGAAAGCATTCAAATTGCTCTTCTAATTTGAAAAAGGATTTTCCATTTGTTGCTTGAAATAATTTTTTTATGAAATAGTATCAGATTTCTTTGAATAGCAATTATAATCTACTCTTTTTCTCCCAATCTAATTTTTAGAAAATTACAGAGCGCATTTTCGATTAATTTACTAAATGAATTCTAAAGATGTAGGTATATTATTACCAACTAAGCTCAAATTATATATTTTCATCTCAACTAATTGTATCTATTTTGCATATTTTTTTAAATAAGCATTAAGTTTCTTCAGAATTTGAGCAAATAATTAAATTTATAATTGATTAAATAATCTTATATATAAGCTCAAATATGGCATCAATATACTTAATTTTTTAGGCTAATTTTATTCAAATTTCAATAATAAACCTTTCATCATCATTAGACATAAAATTTTGGATAAATGTTATTAATTTAGATAAGCAAACACATTCTTAGGTTTTAGTTTTAGGCGATGAAATTTTTTTGTTTCTTTTTCAAAGAAAATCTCTTTTCAAGAAGCACCTCATTCAAATGCTTTTCTTTATTATTTAAAGTGATAATTGAAAAATTATTCAATAGATTGACCATAAAGCCAAGATTATGGATGCTTTTGTAAATTATTAAAGGCTTACTAAATCAATAAGATCTAAAATTCTTTCCTAAAAAAATATAAATTTAGAAATAAAATAGTTTTAATAATAATAATCATCAAAATATAAATTTTACTTAAAATGAAATGAAAAAAACATTCTAGATTTTCAAAGGTAATCCATGAAATTAATTTCTAATTAGTTAACCTATTTTACATGAATAAGTAATGAATCACATCATCGTTAAGAATATAAAGAAGGTTCGGTGGTGAAGAAGTCTCATTAACCATACCTCTTAAATCAAGATTATTCTTATATTTATGATTAAAAGTCTTAAACATTCATTTTCTAGTTTTATTGAAAGAATCATAAGAATAAATTCTTCTATTGGTTTTTATTAAGATAAAAATAAGTCCACTTTCAAATGCCAATCCCAACAAGTTTTTCAATATTGAAGTTCATGTTTATTTTCATCATCCATATTAACCTCTTCAACGATAAAAAATTTAATAAAGAATGCTATAACGGGATAATGTAAAGTAAACCATAAAAGATCAACCTTATTAAATTTAATCAAAAAAATACGTTGATTTATTTATCCTCATCAACTAATTGCTTTTTTTATAATTCAAATTAACTTTTCCCATCGTTAGAATATCAATTATTCTAAATTATATTTAACTTTCAGTCAAATTGTAAGCCTTTAAGTATTAGCTTTACCAAAGCCATTCGATTTTTTTCCATTAGTTAAAATTAAAATAACAATTCTTACCCTTTAGTAAGTTCAAATGTAACTTTTTCTAAGTTAACTTACAACGTATGAATTTTTTCCAGATTATGTATTATATCCATAGATGAGGGAAACATTTCTATTTTTCAATTCCTCTATATATTCCTTCTCTTGTTCTTAGTTTCCTTAGACCATATTATTGATAGTTAAGATTTATTAACCAATGTTTTTAACACTAACTTTAAGTGTTAAGTTTATTACCATAATTTACTTAGATTATAAGATTAATCAATTTCTCTTTGGTTATTTCATTAATTGGATTCTTATTTTAAAACAGCTAAATTAATTTAGTTCTCGATTATATTAAATCAATAATTGCTAGTTTAACTTTAATTTTTTCATCTTCTCTCAAAAAAAATTTTAACTTTGCATGAATATAATTAAATCATATCTTCCCAAGTTTAAAAATTTTTATGCACACGAATAGAATAGCCAAATCATTATTTACAAATTCAAGTTATTCAATTAAAAAATATCCCAATAAATTTTTTTTTAGTTTTTTCTCTAGCCAAATAATTACAATTTCAGGAGTCCAAAAATGTGTTTTTATAAATTCTTAATACAAATGAGCATTATTCCATTTTTTTTAGAGAGATAGAAATAAAAGGAAAAATTTTCAGAAGAAGAATTGCTAATTAAAAGAATGGTCTAGAGTTGGTTTGAAGTGAATGCCATGAACCTCAAGAATAACCTGACAATAACAAAATAGAATGAGTGTAAAATGGATAAATACATGGTGTTAGAGGCTCCATTAGTAAATAATCTAAAGGTGGATTTTACTAAATAGAATGAGTAAAAATAGTTTAAATTATTTAAAAAGAAAGATTTTTATATAATAATAATTAATCAAGAATAAGCTGTCCATCACTTTGAAACCTCAATATTTAGATTTTCATATATAGTAATATTTAAGTTGTGGTATATAATTGTTAGAAATCCCAGTCTAAATGTTGAATGAAGGTAAATATTTTCCGTTAAATAAAAATAAGTCTTATTTTAAATTATTTAATTTTTTGGGGATGAGAAGATTGATAATTGTAGGCTTAGGATTAATCGTAAGAGTATATAAAGACAATATTCAAAAAACTATAGCGATAATAATCTGTTGATGGTAAGTTGAATGTATTCAAATTAAACTAGCAAGATAACTAGGAAAGAATCTTAAATTGATTAAATTAGGTTGGGGATGAAATTATTACCAAACAAAAGATAAGATTCTAAACTTTATTAAGAAAATTTGAGATAGCATCAAGATCTCTTGGATAAACTGAGAGAAAAATATATCATATGTTAAAAACCAGGGTGCTCTAAATTAATCTAAACTTTTGATATGTTAGTAAGGTTTTATTTAATCATTTCAATTTTTGGATGCTCTATTTAACATGAAGTTCTCTTGAGCATTTGTGAACAACAATAAAAAAATATTAATTGCAGATAAAATAAAAAACATAGAATAGAATAAAAGAATTTTTATTGATTAAGAAATAATTCTGAAATAATCTGTGTAAACAGAGTTGTATTATGAAATGGTTTAGAAGCGAAGAGACTAATTAAGCAAGTCTTTTTCGTTAAAATTAGGAGCTAGAATCTTTGTTTATATTATAATCTAATATATTAAACTAAGTATTGCTTCAGTAATATTGAATGCGAATTTATCCTAAATTAGAGGGTGATTAAAAGATATGGATTTATGATTTAACAATTTTGTAAAAACATCCAATAAATAAAACAGATATTTAGTGCCATAAGATAACGGTAGTTTGTTTATTTTCCATCTACCTGAAGGCAAGCATTGTTTTTTCTTAAACCTGTAAATAAACAATTCCATACCTATTCATCTTCAGAATTAAAATTATTATTAAAAAATTAAACTTGATTGCTAGGTAATAATAATTTAATGCCATTACAAATTCACATCCACACCATGTGTGGCAATATGATTCACTCAGTCATCTAAATATCTAAGAGAATATTTATCGAGAAGATTCCCATAAACAAAGTTTAAATAGTATATGATTCGTAAATAATAACTTGATAAATATTAAGATAATTAAAAAAAAATTAGTTTTCGGTATTTTAAATGATGTAACTTAATTTTTTTTTAAACTTTCAAATGCTTAATTTTCAAAACATTTAAAGAAGTATGAAACAAAATGAGTGATTGAGGTGTCGAAATATTGAATATGATATTAATGTATTTTCAATCTTTATATTTATAAATACTCATTTTTAATTTATAGCTTTTAAACATTCATCTAAATATTTTATTTAGATTATACCTTTTCTGTCTCTAGTCCATTCATGATTTGGATTAATCATTAATGCTTTTTTATAATATATTAAAGCTTCTTAATATTAATTCTAATCTTGTAAACATTTACCTATAAATTAAAAAGATACTTACACCTTTTGCCCACAATGAATCAAAGTGATTTGGATTAATTTTTAGTGATTACTCAATCACTTCCATCGATTATTTAAACATTTTCAATAATCTTAATGAATCACCTTCAAATCAAAATAATTAGTACTTTTGGTAAATAATGAACTACAATGTTTTGGATCTACTTTTAATGCTTCATCTGCCCAAATGATTGCTTCATTGTATTAACCAAGCATCTTTAAACTCGCAGCTAACTCATTAATAAATAATCATACCTTTACAATATAATGAATCACAATCTTTTGAATCTACTTTCAATGCTTTATCTGCCCAAACAATTGCTTCATTGTATTAACCAAGCATCCTTAAACTGTCCGCTAACACATTAAATAATAATCATACCTTTACAATATAATGAATTACAATTTTTTGGATTAAAAATTAATGATTAATCAAATATTTTAATTGCCTCTTTATAATTATCATCATCCCAATATAGTTTATAACCTAATTTAATAGATTTATTACCTTTTTTATATAATTCTTCTGATTTATCAATATCTTAATTAGATATTTGATTATAATTTAATTCAGATAATTTTAAATCAGATAATAATTTTACAATTGAATCTTGAAAATCTTTTATTGATTATTAGATTAATATAAAGTTTGTTTATTCAAATGATTTGAATTTAATACTTTCTGCAAAGAAATAATTCATTTATTTAGAATCTAAGTTAAGGAATTATTGTTTAGATTTTTGATATTTTGATCTAATTCCTCCAATCAATAAATAGAATTATTCATAAGCCATATCCATTTATTTATTCAAATCTATAATTAAGTCTTCACATTATTTTTCAATATCTGAAATATGTTCAAACAAAAATAGTAAATCTTATTAATGTTAAAGATGAGTAATATGAATTCCATTTTATATACATTCAATGCATTATAATCTATCTGCTTTACAAGATTCATTAAAACATACTATTTTTACATTATTGGCATGTTCTGAATTTGGGCATTTGATATTAGTATCATTGTTTTGATTCATAATTAATATTAACATTAAATCTTTTTCTAATTCTATTAAAATATTATATAAACTCATTATTATTAAATTATATATTTCTATTACTATTTAATATATTAATAAATTCAATTCAAATATATACATTTTATGCTAATAAGTATTTATAATATACTAGATTGGAATACAGGAGATCTATTCGGATATTGATTCTTGATTATTGAATCTTTTTGGAGTTTCCATTCGAATTGCTATAGTTTTAAAGGATTCTCAAAATAAATTTGATTAACTTTAAATATGATAATCTCTGATGGTTTATAATCAATTTAAGACTTTATTTGCTAAAGATTGTCATATATCATTTTTAAGAGCATATATATAACTTTCCAATACAATACTATCTTAAGGTGAAATTGGATAACTTTCCAAATAGTATTTCAAATTTTAGCAAATAGCAAAAAATTGGTTTAAAAAACAACTTCATTAATTAACTATAGTTTAATTCATATTGAATTAAAAGATAAAGAAAAAGCTTGTGAGATTTCTTTTGATGAAAGCATAATCAAATCTACTTCTCAAATTTGTATTCCTCTCCTAATTGAGATAATTTTTATCAGTACTCTATCACTTTAGACAGATATTTTCCTCTTTTATCCTCTAATTTTTAATATAAATAATATCTATCGATCATCAAATCCTTTAAAGAATAACTTTGAAATCCTTCCTTATTGATGCCTTTAATTTAGTTGAAATTTTAATTTTTTTATATATTTTAACAATGAAGAGTCTTTACTATTTATTATTATATGGATCAATAGAAATAAGTACATCTAGTGGGATTTATCAAAACATGATTTTTTTGAAGCGAAATGATCTGAATTTTTTAGAATAATTTCATTTGAACCTTCCAAATTTTCAAGCTAAACTGCATATTTAAGATATACTGAGTCTTTTTATTTCTTACATCAATAAATTTATAGAGTTCTTTATAAAGATCAGCTATTTTAGATTGTTTAAGAAATTTTCATCAAATATATTTGGGGTTACTAAAATTAAAAAAATGCTTCCTAATTTTTTTCAATTACTTATTAATTAGGATTTGTTTTAAAATAATCTTCATCACATTACTAACTTCTAGAATTTACAACTATTTAACAGGCATGATGATTAATTAACTTACTTCTTTGAGCAATACTAATAATAGAAATAACTATCATCAATATCCCATTTGCTCATTTTTAATTACTAACCTTTTTAAATGGTTCAGTTTACAACAACTTATCAAATAGTTCGATAGCTTCAGTTTATTATTTTGAGATACTTAATTAGATACCTAATAGAATATAAATTAAATCCAAACCTTTTTGATATTCTTTTTTATTGATTGTAATTTATTAATCAGTGATTTAATATGTTATCAGGTGTAATTCTAATTAAATCAAAATATCATCTAACTTTGTCTAAAATTTGGTCAATAATCCTAAAAGATTCACATTAATTATATTTCCAAAATTTTCAAATAAAATAGAGGATTCTAGCATTTATTATCATTGATTAGGCTTAAGATTATCAAGTTTATCTTCAAATACACAGAACTTGTATAATAAACCAGATATGAATTTATCAATAGATTAAAATATTGGTTAGTCTATATTATTAATTTTTATTCAAATTTGTAAATTGATTCAAATCAAAAATCAAGAAAAGATTAGGAACATAAAGAGAACTAACAACTAGATTAAGAATTATCTTAAGCTAGTAGAGAATATAAAATTAGATTTCTCATTAGAAAAGTTTAGAGAAATTAGGTTTATGATGCCTTTAAATTGATAAATGATCATTTTGAAACTCAATTCTCATGATACTAAGGGTTTTGTAATGATATATTTCTGGAAGGTATAAAAATTAAGGGGATTATTATTAAAATATAGAATGAATGATCAGTCAATTAAAAATTTAAATTAAGCTATTGAATTAGGATCTAAAATAAATAAAATTGTATCGTAGTGCTAAGGTGTAATAATGAATTTTATAGAAAAAATATTTTTTTCTAAGGTTTAAATGATTGCAAAAAATTTATTCAAATTAATCCTAAATACTTTTTAGCTTATATGAAAATATGTTAATAGCTTTTACTCAAATTAGGATTTGTGAAAAATAAATTTTGAAATTAAGATTAAAAATTCTTAGACTATAAAAAGAATATTTAATTGGATACATAATAGGTTTTTGCATACATGAGGAGATTTTCTTAAATAAATAGTAAATGAAGAGTAGGCACTTTTGAAATAGGCTATTATAATTTTTGTATTAATCATTACAAAGTTGTATTACAGTATTAAGTTAAAAGGCGGCGCTTTTATTTTCTAAAATCATAAATTTTAATTAGGTATGTATAGGCTTTAAAAGGCAATTATATATATTATTATTCTATTTTTTATTAGAATTAAGACAATCTATATTATTTCGAATAGGAAATCTTTTTGAAATTAATTAGCTATAAGCACTCTTAGATTCTGATAAAGCTATTGAATTAGATATCAATAATCTAAAGTATATAGAGGTGTTAAAATAAGTATAATGAATAGACATTTTATGATAAAATATCTGAAACACAAGCAGGGCACTTATAAATTATAGCAATTAAATTGAATTACATCATAATGATGCTTATACTTATAATGGCAGAGGTATTAAAATATTAGGATGAATAGGAATAAAAATGAAGGCTCTAAAAAATTATAACAAAGCCATTGAATAAGATTTTAATATTGTTAAAAAATTTACATTTAAAGATTGAATTTAGTTTGTAGGTTATTATAGCAGTTTGTATTATAGCTTAGGTAATAAGGATTAAGCCATTCAATCAGATATGAAACGTGCTATAAATTATAATAAAAGTAGTAATCAAAGTGTTAAATTAAATAGAATTTATTTATTGAAGTATTAGGAAGTTTGATCAAAAATTAAAGGTTATAATAAAGCAATCGGATTGGACTCTTATGAAATTAAAGCACATAAAAACAGATATACATTTAATTATAATTTAAATAAGGAATCTTTTATAGGAAATAGCGAATATGACTAGGCCATTATGATTATCTTCAAGCACTTAAATTAAAAGCAGGCAATTCCCTTCTAAACTCAACTTGAATGAAAGAACTCAAATTTAGTTGATCTAAAAGATAAATTCAGTATTTTATAAAGCTAATTAACATTTTGATTGATAAAATAACTGATTTGAATTGCCATAAGAAAAAAATAAGATTTATATTCATTATCATTAAGAATCTGAATATATCCCTAAATGATTTATTAATACTAACCACGTACACAAATTTAAATGATTTGCAAAGTATTTTAAAATTAAAACAACCAAATTTTCTTTTATAACTTAAATAAGAAAAAGATAAATCACTTCCTACATTAAGTTATAGAAGAAGCATTCTATGACCAAAATATACATTAAAGTATTATTCTCATATCAAGTAGGAAGAAAATTAGTATTTTCATTAATTTCATTCTAATAAATTTATTTCAAAACTAAATATCATGATATCACACTTAACAAATCAAATGCAAGATCAGTCACAAGCTTTTATATTAAATTAAGATAGAGAACAATAAAATTTAGAATAAGAACTTTTATCACAAGATACCTAAAACAGTCAAGTATTTAAAATTAACTTCTATAACAATATTAGAGAAAACATTTGCTCAAGAAATAATTTATTGAGAACTTTAGCATTTAGTTTGGCTTTTAGTGATCTAAATTTTATTATAAAATCAAAAATGTATCAATTAATAATGACAAATATAATGAGTTTCACTCCTAATTATAAAAAAATAGTTCATATGACCAAGATAATCAATCACCTATAGAAATTAAATAAAAAGAAATTATTCCGATAAACTTCAAAAATAACAGGAAAGCTTAGAATTATTAAAAGAAGCACCTACTAATCAAAAGGCTCTATATGGGTTAAGTATATATATTATTTTTAATTAGGTTTAATTTTAATTCATAAGAGATAATTCATTTAAACAGAGTATAATTACTAGAACTCTTATATTTAAATGTAAATATAGCAAAGCAGAAAAAAACTATTGAATTTAAAAATGGATGAATTTCTCATTAAACTAAAACTATTAGAACCAAAGTAGGAAGATATGGAAGATTAGTTTTCAACCTTTGAAATCAGTTTGGTATAAATATATAACCTTTTTTCAAGTTATAATTTAGTTTAGAGAGCTGACATTTTATCTATTTACTATATTTTAATTTGTATCATTAAGATTACTGATAAAAATGTATCCATACGTTTATAAAATACTCTCCATTTATAATCTTTAATGAATTAATTGGGTTAGTAATCATAAAAATAATTAAAAAATTAGATTACAAGCATGTTCAAAAAAGCATTTTATAAACTAATTGAATAACTAAAATTATATATATGTATTATTTATATTTAAGTACAAAAACTAAATATTAAATGCTTAAGATTTCATCAAAAAGACTGATCAATTTAAAAATCTGAATCCTTTTAAAAGAAATATTTTCCAAATATTAAGCAATAGTTCCAGAATTAACTTAAGATAACATAACTATTTTAATAAATTAATTCAATGATTAAGGTTTGGTGTCCATTCCTAAATATTAAGATTTTTACATAATGTAGATTATTGATATATTTTAAATTAATATTAATTATATGAATTTATAAAAAATGATAGAATTTGGCAATAGCTATAAATTGTCTAATTTTCAATTGAAATAAAATTATATAATGGATATTTTATTCTAAAAGAAATGTTCTATACATGATTAAGAAATTTTAGCAGCAAGGAAAGGATTAGATAATAACAACGAGAATAAATATTTATGCCCTTAAAGTTTAATCGAACTAATAGACCCTAAAGAATTGATATTCTAGGTAAAAATTTTATTAATCAGCTTATTTACTTTCTTGGAATTTTATTTTAGTTAAAAATATCTAATATTAATTTTGTGAAATATTTATCTAATTCCCATACAAATCGATAATACAGATCAAAGAAATCAATAAGCTAAAGTAATATTTTTATTAATTTAGTCAACCCAACATTAAATTTTCTATATTAAAATCATGACTAATAATAATTATGGTCAAACTTGATGAAAAAAATAAATTGTAGTACTCCTGTGTATAATGTGTTATAGAATATTAAGGAAATTACATAACACTTACTTAATTATAATAACCTTTTTAAGCTTACAATTAATCTTCTGAAAAATCTTTAAAACTTGAAAGAGCAACATATGAATGAAATAATTAAAATTTTTAAGGAATTAAGTGATAGATATATTTAAACCATAGATTTACCCATTAAATAATTAGAGGAAATTTAAGAGATAATCGAAAAAATATATAATTTAAAGATCAACATATCTTTAAATTCAAATAAGGGCAATCATTATAAATACTAAAACCAATATTTTAGGATTAAAATTCTAATCATTATTCTTAAATTATAGAAAAATAATTATAATTAGATTAACAATAGAATAGTAAATTTGAATAATAAATGTAGGAATTTAAATATTTAGTTCAAATTTGTTGTAATAAAGTGTTTTAAATGAATAGTTTTAATAATTATATAAAATAATTGTAACTAGACAATGATCAAGCATAAATAATTTAAAAAATAATTAGCGTATGAGATAAAATAAAAGAACAATAGAAAAATTGTGCAAATGAACAAGGAATATTATCATAAAATTTTGAATTAAAAATAAAATATTTAGAAAGATTAAAGACCATACTTGATTCCATTTCCTTTTTTAATTAAATAAAAAAGGAATTCCAGAATAAAACTAATGAAAAAATTGAAAATTTAGAAAAGGATATAAATGAGGTTGAATATAGAAAATAAATTTTAGTGTAATGAAAAAATTAAAGGAATTCAGTTAAAAACCTTTTAATCAATATTACTTAATCCATATCAGCCTTAATTTAATAGTAATTATAAATTAGCTGCCTATTAAGTAATTAAACCCAAAGTAGTCTCAGGTAACCAATTTTCTTATATTATTAGCTTCTTAAGGAGGATTTGGATTAGCTGTAATGAAACCTCCATTAAGTAAAGATAAAGTAACAACATTCGCTTTTACAATAAATGTATAAAGTTATATCTTATTAAGAAATACAATAAGTGGGCAGGAATTGGAATTTGCCATTTGTAAACAGCTTAAGGTTTTAATTATGATATGAATGAAAATTATTCACAAAAAAATCACAATGTTTACATAACATCTACTGGGGGATATAGAATTTCCAGTTATTAAGGTTATAGTATTGATGAATATATATTTTTAAGAAAGTAGTAATGAGATTCAGAAAAGATGAAATTTTATTTTAAATTAATTATACCTGAGTAAACTTTACTTTTAGTGAAAATAACATCATTCATTGTTAATATGATCGAAAAAATTATACATTAAATTTCTTACATTAAAATGTAATATAAAAATAATTAGGAAGGAAATACATATTAAATGGATATAGCTAATAATAATTTAGATATTTCCCTTTGTGTTATGCTATATGGAACAACAAAAAAAGAATAAATATGAAAATTATCATTCCTATAAATAGATATTACTAATAATTTGAAAGTAATTCCAAATATAAATAAAATATTATAATATTAAGAATGAATAATTCAATAACAAATTAAATCAGAAATATTATTGAAGTTGCTATGATGATAAAATGCATTATCAATTTTCCACAGTTTATTATATCATGTGAATTCCAAAAATAGTAAAATTAAATGATGTTTTCAACTTTTTTAGTTTTAATGTTCAATTAGGAACTATTTATAAGATGGGATAAAAATTCATATCATATTCGATATCAGCTTATAGCTTATATTCATATCAAAGTACTTAAAACTTTAGGATTCAGTAAACGCAACTATTTAATATATAATATGATTGTTAAACTGTTAAATTATCTCATTAATTTTAACATGTAATTCTATTATAAATATATTGGTGATTAATTTCTATAAAAATACTTTAGGCTTTTTGAAAAAGATCATTTTGAATAATTTATTTTTCTATTTATTTTATATTATTGAGATTAAATCATAAAATAAGCTAAAGGGTTGGTTCAAGGATTTTTTATTCTATAAACCTCTTGATTTGATTTGACAATATAATATGTAAAAGCTATTTTATTAGAACCAATAAATATTAAAAATAAATTTTTTTATATAAAAATGTAAAATAAAAAATTATATGGCATTGACTTTGCTTAAACTAAATTATTTCATATAGATTCGCTTAAATTTCAATTATGAAAAGCTTAAATAAAATTCGATTTTTAATTAAAATATTTATGAAAATATTAATTGTATTTTTATTTGCAGTTGCTTATTGCTATCCAATTGTTGTTACTAATACAGACTTGAGCCCTTCTGATTTATTTATCAACCAAATAGATTTGATGAGTAAAATAAGACAGCAAGTAAATTAAAATATTATTTAGTAGGAAAACAAAAAAGTTATCTTAATAAATATTCAAACATCTCATTAAGATAATGAAATATTCTAAAGTAAATTACTCAAAAGGATAGAAAGTTTAAAGAATTTTAAAAAATTGTTAAAATCTAAATCCACTTTTGTTTCCCCATTTGTAGATTATTCTTCAATCCAGTTTGCTTAAGGACTCTAAAAGGATAATTAAGTTATTAGCTTTATTTATTCAAGGTTGAAGTATAAAATATCCCAATGAACTTTTAAAATCTGAAGGCACTTGATAAATTTGCTTAACAATAAGATGCTATCTTAATTGTGTTATTTTCAAAAATATCTTCAAATGTGAAGGTTTTAGAAGAAATTACTGAAACTTCAGAAGTAAATATTGATAAATCATTGTTTTAGCCCTCTGATTAAATTATAGCTGTCGAGTTAGGTGATGAAAACGAACTAACTACAAATACTGTAAAAAAATTATTATATAAATAGATATACACAGTCACTTCTAATTAATTAACTGGATACATTGTCTTCTTTGTATCAATGTTTGCTTTATGGATAGCTGTCTAATGTAATGGAGCAATTTAAACTCCAGAAAGATTTTCAAAATAAAATTATTATATTGGAAAAGAAAGTTGAATTATTTTATGAATATTGTACCTAATATATTCTTTTTAAATGTATTTCTGAATATCTGAAATGTATTTTTGTAGTATCCAGCATTTTTGAGTGAATTTCATAATTATTTCTAATCTTATATTGAATCTTTTCTGTTCCAATTTGGATTGATGAGGCATTTGAATCTAAAATTAAAAAATGGATTACTTGTATAAACTTTATTAACTCCCTGCTTAACCATCTATTCCACCTATGCCTTTTTTGCTTTTTAAAAAATTAAACATATTATGGGACTTCATTAACATTTACTATAATAAATATCAATAATATTTAATAATAGCTCAATATATATGGTATAGTTTAGTAACAAATCTAATTTCAAATAGCCACTCTTTTCATGATCATTAAGTTCTCTCTCTAATCCAAATGTCTTATTGATATTTTGAAATTAAGAACATTTGCTGAAATTTCTAATTTCACATTCATCTTCAGGCTGTTCATTTGATGATAAATCCCCTATAGCAATTTTTAAGCCCTAATCAAAATAAAAGATAACAAAAATGCTTTAATAATCAATCCCTTTGTAAATAGTGAATAATTCACTTTGCAATAGCTCTTATTCAGATTTCGAAAATAGATGGATTTCTTTAAAAAATTTTCTGATCTCTTCTACAAATTTATTTTAATGATATTGAATGAGAATTATTATTTGAAGCTTGTAATTTTTCATAGATTTAAACTTAATTTTCAGCCAAAGATATTCTAATCTATACATTATAAACAATTATTTTAATGTAATTTATATTTCTTAATATCTCTTAGAAATTGTTGGACTATTCTTTTATTGACAACCAATTGCCCTGAAATTAATTATTTCATATCCATCAAACATGTATAAATAATAATAAAATCAAAAAAATTTCTCACTATTCTATTTGTTTAATACATCAATACTTTAAAAACATAGATAATTTTTCCCCTTCTCATTATTATCTTAAGCATTAAATTAAAAATATAAACTATAAATAATTTATGTTCAAATCAAAATTATTTATATTAATAATATAAAAGTAATTAATACCTAAGTGTATTTCATGTACAACTTCTTTCTCAGCCTTAAAATGTAGACTTTCCTTTATATACATTNTGCTTTTTACAAAATTAAACATTTTATGGGACTCTATTTCCTATATTGATACAGGCATAATCGAGTGAGATTTATCCTTAGAAATTTCTTTTATAAAATTTAAAACATTGTTATTATCCTCTTCTGGCTTTTTTTTTGCAGTTTAAGATTTTCAATTAGTTTTATTAGGTAGTATGTGATTAAGTCTATTATACAGATTTAATTAGTTTTCATTCCTTAACATTTACTATATTAATAATCAATAATATTTAATAATAAACCTTTATTATATATAATATTAATGTAATCACGAAAAAGAATGATGAATTGGAACTAAAATAAAAAATATTTTAGAGAAACTAAGATTTACTTTAAGGATAAAAGATAGTGAATAATAATTCTCTTGTTAATACCAAAAAGTAGAACTATAGTGGACTTAAATCCCAAATTCGTACTTGGAAGAAGAGTTAATTGTTTTTTTTATTAAATGGTGTACTTTTGCTCCATTGATTGAAAAAATAAATTAGAGTTTATTTATAAAATCTTTATGTGCTATTTTCATATGGAAGACTCCCGTATCCATCCCTATTTAATTTATAAATGAATATATTCCTTGATTTACTTAAGCACATTTTAAATTTCAATATTTAAGTTGATGAAATAGTTACAATTATCAATATAAATAAAAAAATCTACTTCAAATAACAATAAGTTCTTTCAATAGATTAAAACCTATTAGTTAATTAAAAAGAGAGTTTTATTTGATTATTTTAACTTTTTTGTAATTAACAGAGAAAATGTTCAATAAATAATAATCCTCTATCCATAAAATAAATTTCTTTAATAGATCTGAAATGCTCTTATTATTATAGGACTTTCTAAAGTTAAAAAGAAATTTTTGAAGAACAATCTTTAAAAAATCATTTGAGGCAAGACTAAACAACTCACATTTAGAATAAAAATAATTAAGTAATTTAATGATGGTGGCATTTACCTTGTTTCTGAATCACTGAGTACAGTAATTTTACAATATCTTACTATCTCAATTATTTGAGCAATTTTATTCATGGAGATAATTTTACTAGTTTTCAGTCAGCTGGCCTATTACTGCCCGGATGGTTTTTTGTTACCAACTTCATTTTCCAATTTCTTATTAATTTCATGTTTCTCCAAAGATAAACAAAATAGAGCTTGGCTTATCAACTCTAAATTAAGCTATAATCTTTTATATAACAAGTTATTATAATCTGATTATTTCTAAATATCTAAATTAATTTGCATTTAATACTTCTTTAAACTCATCCAATTTTGTTAAATTGGCCACTTTTTCTACTATATTATTTTATATTATCAACTACATAGTCATTAAATATCTCACTATTAAATTCTGTTATGTATCTAATAACATTACTAATTTATACAAATTTAATTTTATCAATTAAGAGATCAGTTTATACAATCATGTACTAAATGATGAAGCTAATTAATAAAAATTTATCTTAAATGATGAGAATGCTGTCAAATCAATTTTTTTTTTTAAATAAATGCTAACTTTCTTAGCTTTTATTAATTTCAGTATTTGTTTCATAAATTCTTCATATCACTCAATAAGAGTTAAGGTATGAATTGGCTATAATTTCAATCGGAATTCTTATTTGTTGCAAGTCCAATTAAACTATAAAAAGTAGCATATAATATTTTAATAAATAAAAGATAATAACTCGTTTATCCAAAAATTTATTAATTCTTTATTATCCATATTTATATAGAATAAATAAAAGTTTACTACACAAGATAGATCACCACTTTAAATTCATTAATAAGTATTTTAAATAATGAGGACATCAAAAAATTCAATCCTTGATGGCTTAATTGATGTTTCTAATTCATAATTGATCACAATATACAAATAATTAAGAAATTTACTTATGAAAATGGATAATTAACCACATGTTCTTATTCCAAATAATTTTGATAGCCATAAAGTAAATAATAGCAAATTTTATAACTTAAACTACACCTTAAACAAGTTATATATCTATCTTTATAGTAAATATCTTATCAAGTATAATAAATTATAATTTTATTATTAATTAATGGACATCTGAAAAAAGTACTATTACAATAATTTTAATATATGTATCATAAATAAATTTTGTGATAAAATTGCTTATGAAATTAAAATTGTTAATTTATAATGGAAATGCTTAGTTGAATAAATGGCTCATTGCTTTTTACATCATTAAATACTATTGATAGATAAATTTAAATTATAAATATCTTAATCCCAGCGCTTAGCTATTATCCATCATTAAAATATTTTACAGGTCCAAAATTCAATTAATGTAAAAGTTATTAATATCAATTACCTGGAAACAATATTTGTCCACTATCCCATCTAATTAATATTATGTGAAGAAAGTTGCATGGAGATATATTTCAAATTGATTCTATTATAGATTTTTTTAATCTTATCCATGTATTGAAATTTAAATATCTTAGTTTGCCAAATTGAACATATACTGATTTTGCAGGGGAAAAATTAAAGAATTAATATACATGATACAATACATTTAGGTATATCCATAGATTATAAATTTTTATTAGTCTTAGCTAGGGGATTTGAAAATTTTATCAATCATTTTCTACAACAACTAATGCGATATATTTAGTTGGTTTTTAAGCCAATCTTCTAATTTTTAATGTAATTCCCCTTAATTTTACATATAATTTTTGATGATAGAAGTATTAAAATTTTATAATAAAAATAATTAGGAGTTCCCATAATATTTTTTTGGGGTATTTATTTATTCATCAAACTATTTTTTAATCCAAAAACCCTAAAAATTATAAATATTTAGATTCAATTTAGAGAAATGAATCAAAAATTCTAACACATAAATAAGAATCTATTCAACTGAAAGCTACTCGTCATATTAAAATTATACATCAAATAAAAGGTATCATATAATTGCAAATGTTGATATTCCTAATATTGATTTCTATTTTCGGCAATAGTAAAATTATTCATAAAATTCGCATTATATAAATTATTGATAACTCATATGGATTGTGGAGTTTGTTTAGAGAAGGTATTACTGCGGTTTTTGTCCTCAAATCTGTCAATTATGTGATGTATACAGAAATCATTTTGTATAATTAGACCATTTAATTGTAAGGTTTGTACAAATGGATATTATATTCATCAGAATGTATGACTTAAAGTATTAAAGGAAATATAATGCAGAAGACCCACATCATGGGATTACCGTCAAATTCTGTATATATTTTCTTTAGGTTGTTTATTTATTTATTCAGTTGAAAACTGCAAACAAATATAAAAACAACCAAAAGTTTAACTTAATAATATTCTGATAGAGCAAGAATTAGTATCAAATAATAAATCACCATACAAATAATTTACAATAAGTTTTGAATAGTTTGGACTAAATAATGAACTAGTTAAAGTTTATTGTGGATTCATTTTAAAGATGTCATTTAATTTTGTAACACTTGCATTTGATATTGTTTAATTTGCAATTATTTTTCAAAATTGAATATTTGGAAGAACATGTAGATGCCCAAAAGGATTATTTTATAAAGCAGCGATCATTCAGGTTTCAAGTTTCATTAATCACTTTAGACCTATTTTCAAAAAAGATTAGGCAATTATTAAACTTTTAATACTTCTTTCAACAGAATAAGGATTATAATGTGTATATACACATGTTTATTATGAATTAATAATTTATGTGCAATTAATTAGATTATTATAAATTTTAGATTGTCCAGATACAAAAGATGTTATGTAAAGTTCATGTTATAAATTATAAACTAATAGTGAATAATTATGGCATATAAATACATGAAATTCTATTTAATTTAGACTTCATCTTATATTTGGCGTTTTTATTGTAAGTATTTATGTTAACCTTCATATAAATAATATATTCAGAAGGAAATTTATTAGTTAATTAAGTTTTCCTGCTTGAAAATTTATGATTATGATCCTTATTCAAGATGTAATTCTTAATTTTTGAGCTGTAGTAAACTTAAATCTATTTCGTTTAACCATATTGGAGGATATGCTTGTTCAGTAAGTAAGAGTAGATTTGAAAATATTAATAATTCTTGGCATTCTATTCTTGGATATAAATTAGTTGTAGCTGATAAATAATTTGATGATGGCAATTTAATATCTAAGAATGATGATGTATGTATGTCCATAAATTTGTCTTTACACAGTTTGTTTTGAAGAGTTGAAAAAAAACTTAAATTTTAATATGGAAATAAAAGTTTAAACCTTGGTATGGATTATTAATATAAAACTATTAATTTTTAATTCCAGATCTAAGCATAGCCTAGACCTTTGAAGCCAAATTTGATTAAACTAATAGAATTCAAAAAAGAACTTCAGTTTTATTAATAAGTTTTTAATCAGATTGGCCTAGATGAGGCAATTATGAATACTGTTTCTTCTGATATAACCCTAGAAATCACTTTCCAATGTTATTAGAGATTGAATGTATTATGATAATGATATAACAATATATTTTCTTGATTATTAGTTCCTTTCTTCTAATAAGATTAAATAAACAGGCTTTTAACATTTACTCTTTGATTAAAAAACGAAAGTTGATAAATGAAGAAATATTAATCAAAATTACAGAGGATGCATTGAATTTATCCTTTATATAGTTTAATTTAAAAAAAAATTAAAATAGTTATTTTAATAATATATGAATAGTCAACATTTAGGCTATTATATATCACATTTTTTGGCGATTGATGAATCTATAATCACAATAAAAATATTAAAATAGAGAAAATCTTTCATTAATAAACATTTATTATTATTCTAATATTAAATTTTTAATAAGAGTAAGGAAGAAGAGGTTTAGTCAAAGCTTTCAAATATGTTTTGATCAAATTCTATTAATTAATTGTCATATTCATAATGAATAAAAGAAATTAATCTAAAATTTTAGGTTGTATCTATAACATTTTAATGCATAAAAAAAAATAACACTATTTAATTTAATGCAAAGCTTTTATTATATAGTTGATGACTTTATATAATAAAGGAAATGATGCAATAAGTTTTAAAATAATTCTATTTGATCCTTTCATAATGAGTATAGGCCTTTTGTAGTTTCTGATTTAACTTTTTTTCAGAGCAAATTGGTTGAAGAGATCTTAATTATCAGTTTAATCTTACCAAACTCATAGGTCTTAAGAATTTTGCTATCATAGGAAAGTCTATCAATTAGAATTGAGTTCTCTTTTATATTGTTTTTTTTTCATTAATACTTGTTTCTTTCTCTAGTACATTTATCTGTTTATAAAAATTCTCAATTTTACAGAATAATCATATTTGACTCTCAAATTGTTTCTGTTTTTGCTAACAATTTAGCAATCCCTATATAATTCAAATGATGGTTAAACAAACATAAAATTTTTTTCTTGCACTTCACTATCATTTCATCAAATTTATTCATGCACAAAAGAAAATGTGTTTATACATTAACTCATTTTACAAAATTGTTTAATCAAAATAGTCATATACACAACTTTCTTATCATATACACAAATAATTGTCTTTATAAATGTGATTTCAGACATCATTACTGTTTTTATTACATAAAATTAAAATTCTATAATAAATTGAAGTCTTTTTGACCTAAGCATTTAAAATATTCTTATTATATTCTTTACTACTTTCAAAAAGTTAACTAACATTTCTTTCCAAGAGCTCAGATTCCAAATATCATCTGCTTCTTGAAGTTAATAAACCTCGATAGTTTATTCTTGAAGCATGTTAATTTGTCAATGATAGTTTCTTTTCAAGAATTGATTGTTTCAATGGTTATTTAAAAAAAGAGCATTCAATAGCTCTTGATTTAAAAATTATTAAATTTAAAAAGGTACAATCAATTTATCATCTTTAAGTTATTCACCTAAGGTTCTTAACATTTTGCTATTTTTTGTTCCCCTTTTGACATTATTTTGATCTTAGTTATTTTCTTTCAGCCTTAATAGGTTATCTGCTTGATACCTAACTTCAAATAAAACTTTTACTATTCAATTAATCATAAAAATGTAAAAGAGAGAAATTTATATCTTTTCTTTTATTTCCACATTTTTATAGAAAGTAGTGTATATAAGTAATATTAAATATGTTAGGAATGCTAAATAAAATGATATTTAATTTATAAAAAGCAATTATGGATAATATTAGTAATTTTTATCATTCAAAGTTTCTGTTAAATTTTAATAGAAATAGATAAAATAAAAATATCATAATAATGAATAGTCAATAGATTGTTGAGTAATTTGAAAATAAAGTTTAAGAATGTCTTTAAGGAGTTTAATAATAATTAGATGTAAGTTATTATA